TATTTCGGCTTGGATTTTGTTGATTTTTGAGTATGTTGTAGCTGAGACTAATGCTATCTAAATCAACCCTCATTTTTTCAATAAGATGTCATGATCGCGCTCATGATCATGATCATGATCATCATGATCATCATTATCATAATGATGATAATCATTTATCAATTACATTTTCATTTCTTTGAATAAGATTAAATCGTCAAAAGGTGTTCTTTATGATGTAAATGAGAGTCAAATGTGTAACTGGTTACTGCACAGGGTCAAAGGTCATATATTGTTTCAATCTATCTTCCCTAGATCCATGATGATCAAGGAGACACAATTTAATCTTGACATATGAATAGATCATAATGGGAGAAGCATTTTACAAAATAATATATCGTGTAATGCATTATTCGTTATGTAAACCATTATCATACGTATCACCTAATTCGTCTAAGTGACGAATTAAAGTCTAGTTATTATTTATTTTTATTATTCTTCCTCGAATTTGTTCGCAGGATATCTCAAGACTGAATAAAGCCATTATCATGAAACTTTCAATGATGATAGATCTTAGTCTAACTTAGAACTGTGTGACTTTTCAGACAGTCAAGGTCATCGTGACGTCATCCAGGCGCCATTTTGTGAAAATCAACTTATGATCATATCTTCATAAAGGAAAGCCATTTTTCATTCATATTTATCATGATTAAACTCAATATCCGTCCGGTCAATTTCAAGTTAATAAATGCGCGCAAAAATGCGCGTACGCTTATGTCCGCGCGTTTACGCGCGCGAAAAAAATTAAAATGCTCCAAATCATCCCAATTTTTTTTTACATCCGTTTCAGGCCATATGGAGCATTTGATAAAAAAATTACGCACACGCGCATGCGCGCGCGTTTTCGCGCGTACTGGCATTTTGCAATATAGAATCGCCGAATTTTTTCTGTCATTATATTTGGTACATTTTTCCAAGCATTTTGATAACTTGTTCACCTTTTATTAACGCAATGAGCGTCCGTCAAAGTTGACAGCACGCGTGGATTTGCGTTATCTTTATCTACAATACATGGGCAAAAACATGCCTATATAAAAGTCATTGTAACTCTTTAGAATAGATAGAAACTCCTAATATTTTTTCATATTTGGATAGATTATGAGTCGGAGATATGATTTCATGTCTCATTTGATCCTCAATTAACTCATGACGTCATCATAATGGCCTCCAAACTCAAATTTTTAATTTGCATATTATGACGTCAGCATATTTTTGGAAAATTGATTGTATCTCTGTAAATATGGATTAATTTTCTTTTTTTAATTTTGATAAGTTCTAGCTGAGACAATTTTCTACAAATGTAATATTCACAATTTTTATTTTTGACAAAAGTATCATGGTGTAATTTTGCAATTAAAGGAGGCATGTCAATTGTTCGCATTTTGCGTGTATTCTCTATGGGACATGACTTTTTCTCAAAACTGGATTCTACACTCCTGTCTTTCGCGATCAAAATCTCCGTTGTTTTAGCTTCGTCTTCGCTGAGCTTCGGATATGTTGTAGCTGAGACAATGAGCTATCAAAAGTGTGCCCTTTATTTTTCGATTAGATGCCGGGATCATGCTCATATTTCACTTGCAAAGTGGGATTTCTGAATTCCATTTCCCGTTTACGTGTAATCGCTATGGGAGATGTTTTGGTATATCGGTAACGCACTTGACTTCCAACCTCGAGATCCCTGGTTCGAGTCCGGGTGTCTCCAACACTTTTTTTTCACTTTTTTTTCCTTTTGACCTTCACTGTACCATCTCCTTTGATTATTTAAACACGTAGATTCGCAAATAATGTCATAAATAACCCTTTTTACTTTATTATTACCCTATTTTCACTTAATCCATTACTTTTTGCGTGTAATCCCTATGGGAAATGACTTTTTCTCAAATCTGGAGTCTACATTCCTGTCTTTGGCGAGCAATATCGCCGTTATTTCGGCTTGGATTTTGTTGATTTTTGAGTATGTTGTAGCTGAGACTATATGCTATCTAAATCAACCCTCATTTTTTCAATAAGATGTCATGATCGTGCTCATGATCATGATCATGATCATCACGATCATCATTATCATAATGATGCTAATCATTTATCAATTACATTTTCATTTCTTTGAATAAGATAAAATCGTCAAAAGGTGTTCTTCATGATGTAAATTAGAGTCAAATGTGTAACTGGTTACTGCACAGGGTCAAAGGTCATATATTGTTTCAATCTATCTTCCCTAGATCCATGATGATCAAGGAGACACAATTTAATCTTGACATATGAATAGATCATAATGGGAGAAGCATATGAATGGGAGAAGCAAAATAATATATCGTGTAATGCATTATTCGTTATGTAAACCATTATCATACGTATCACCTAATTCGTCTAAGTGACGAATTAAAGTCTAGTTAATATTGTATCTGAATTGAAATATCCTGTTGATCAGGGCAATAATTTAAATTTGAATCCTTGTCGTTATTTGGATAGGAATTCTAATACGTGTTATTTTAAACCAATCACATGTTCCGAGATCATTGATATTGTGTCTAATATAAAGAGAGATTGCAGTCCTGGGTACGATGATATAAGTATCAAGGTTATAAAGAAATCTATACATATTTTATGTCAACCCATCTGTGCAATATTCAATCAATGCTTAGATTTAGGTATATTTCCTGATGAATTAAAGATTGCTCGTGTGGTTCCTGTATATAAAAATGGTTCAAGTGAAAATGTTGCAAATTACAGACCCATATCAGTCTTGCCAATTTTCTCTAAAATTTTAGAAAAATGTATGTACAATAGATTATTTGATTTTATAAGCAAGTACAATATATTATCTTTGAACCAATATGGTTTCCGTCCTGGACATTCGACGTCATCGGCTCTTATTGATTTTGTTCACACTGTTGTTAATGCTCTTGATAACAAGAAATATATGATTGCAATGTTTTTAGATTTGAAGAAGGCTTTTGATACAGTAGATCACGCTATTTTATTACACAAACTTGAATTATATGGCATAAGAGGTATTGTACTTAAATTATTTGAAAGTTATTTATCAAATAGAAAACAATATGTTGAAATTTCTAAATGCAAATCACAGCAAGGGACTATCTCATGTGGGGTACCACAGGGTTCTATCTTAGGACCACTGTTGTTTCTTTTATTTATAAATGACCTTAGTAAAGTATCTAAATTATTACATTGTATTATGTTTGCTGACGACACCAGTCTGTTTTTATCCCATCCTAACTGTCAGGACTTACATAATCTATTCAATTCTGAACTTGAATTAATATCTGAGTGGTTTTACGCAAATAAAATGATAATCAATGTAGCAAAAACCAGTTATATTATTTTTAGTAATTTATTGATACCAGATTATCTTTCAATTAGATTGTGCAATACAGATATTAAGTGTGTAACGTCAGTAAAATTTTTAGGCATTACAATAGATCATAAACTTACATGGAAAAATCACATTGATAGTCTGTGCAATAAGCTGGCAAAAAATATAGGAATAATGTATTGTTTAAGATCATTTCCAAAGGAGATTTTAAAAATTATTTATTATGCAATTGTATATCCGTATCTTAATTATGGTATTCTTGTCTGGGGTAATGCAAGTAATAATCACATTGATAGATTGTTTATTTTACAAAAACGTGCAATACGAAATATGTCTCATGCACCTTACCTTGCCCATACCAACCCTTTATTTATTGAATCAGGTGTTTTGAAATTTCATGATATATATGTATTTCAGGTACTTATATTTATGTACTTATGTAACAATCACCTCTTGCCAGACTATATTAAAACATTCTTTCAGTTCAATAATGAATATCATGGATACAATACAAGAAATGCTAATGATTTTCATTTACCCAAACCGAGGCTCTCATCTTTTAAAAATTCAATATTATTTCAAGGACCCCAAATCTGGAATTCTCTTTCTTCAGATATTAAACAAGCAGTTTCGTTAAATGTTTTTAAGTCAAAATCTAGGCACTTTATTTTAGACAGGTATTCACCAAGTTTGTTTGTTTAAATGTATAGGTATAGTACCCCCCCCCCTTTATGTTGTTGTAAGTGATTTGTTATTTTTTGTAGCTTCCTTAATGTATTATGTTACAGGGTCAGCTAATCACAAGGCTTGTTCCTTTCTTGCTGTCCCTCTCATACTTAATCCAAATGTATACTTTGTTATTAATTTTTCTTGTGAATTTTATCCTTTGTATCATGTTGATTTATGAATGTTTGCACGTGTTTTCTGGATTTTTATGAGCAAATAAATTGAAATTGAAATTGAAATTATACCCGTGAGAATGGGATATGATTTTAGTAAAAAGGTTTGATGACTTGCACGAACTATATTCTCACATCGGGATTGCAGTAAATGCATCAAAGTCTAAATGTACTATTATAACATCTGAATTATTTAATGTGATGTTTTTTGTATTTTGTGCAGGCGCGTAGCCAGGGGGCGGTTGGGGCGGTCGCCCCCCCCCCCCCCCCAAAAAAAAAAAACGCCGCCAAAAAAAGAGAGAGAGAGAGAGAGAAAAAAAGAAGAAAGGAAGAGGACGTAGCAAGAAAAGGATTAAGAGTCGAGAACGGTACAACGAATCGTCTTCTTTCTCTAATAATTTATGAAACGTTGAAGCTTTTGCGCTTCGCGCGGGAGGGGGAAAGCTCCCCCTCCCTGCACCCACCTCCTAGGGAGCGCGCTACGTGCGCTCTGTAAGTGATTCGCACGGTTCGCATGCTCACTACCGCCCCCTAAAATGAAATCCTGGCTACGCGCTTGGTTTTTTGTAACTCCTCAATAAAAGGTGAGCTGGTTGAATTAGGCCCTTTGTTAAAAATAAATAAATATAAGCTTTATATGTCGCCTCCTCAAGAAACAAAAATCGGAACGAATCAATGTTCACATTCTTTAACAATTACAAAAGTTGGTAAGGGTGTGAATAATTTAGTTGTAAACATATACATTGAAAAACTATTCACCTTCGTTAATTTTTTATTCTTTTATAATTCCATTGAAGACCCCGATGAAGGAAATGTCCGACTTGCTGGTGGGTCTACTCCAAACCAAGGCCGGGTTGAGATCTACCACAATTCCCTGTGGGGGACAGTCTGTGATGACAGTTGGGATGACTCTGACGCGAGGGTAGTTTGTCGACAGCTTGGATACTCAGGTGATGTAGGTGAAGCCAGGAGTGGTGGTACATATGGACGAGGATCTGACCCGACATATCTTGACGAGGTCGGCTGTTCGGGATATGAAAGTAGATTGGAGTACTGTAGTCACGCCGGATGGGGCATTGAAGACTGTTCTCACAGCGAAGATGCAGGAGTTTACTGCAATGACAATGGTAAGTTGCAAACAATACAAAGCAGGCATTGCGGAGACGAGTTGGCATATAATAGTCGGTAAAGCATCTGCCTGTTGGACCAACATGACCAATGATCGTGGCTTCAAACCCAACCCGTGGGGATGACTAAAGATTGTCTTGTGCGCCAATGAGCCCCTCCCCTGTTTCATAGATACACGCTATACATAGTGGAAAACACTCCTACCATCGGATACGAAGTAAAAAGAAGGCCTCGTGTAGAGGAATGTCACCACCTTTTCACGTTAAGAACCCAAAGCACTCTTCGAATAGGAGTAGGGGAACCCTGTTACTAATATTGGTCGACCCCGATCAGTTATATCGGGAGGAGACTTGAGGGTAATTGAATTGAATTGAATTATTTTCTTCTGCAAAACATGCACGAAATGCAAAACTTACAAATCCAATCACATTTCAGCGATACAATACGATAAAATTGAACGTGCACACCATATAATAATGATAGAAATTTTAGAAACAACTTACAATGATTTAGGTTGATTTTGTTTTCCCATGTACAGGTTACTCCAAATGATATTTTGTCTTGCATTACCTGTACGTTTCCTTCATTTGCATATAGAGCTTGGCTAAATCCCACGAAAACAACGGCACACAAGGCCAACTGCCCACAAGAACAATAATAGCTGGAATCACATAATAGCAACATGTTACACAAATTCTAACAATCTTAGGAATTTCACACTGTTCACAAAGACATTTATGGCCAGTTCTCCACACTTTATGTAAAGTGGCATAGACTTTTTTTTGTAAATACCCTTAAATGGCAGAAAAGTTTTCTTCAGGGATTTTGTATAGTGTCACCAAATTCCTCCGGCTAATACAATGACCGACATTTAATCCTTAGTTTCATATGTTTGTTTATTGTCCGTTTAATTAATCTCGTTTTTCAGTCTTTATAAACGATAACATCGCAGACAGTATTATAACGATGAAGATATTTTGCGAGCAATGATACAAGATAGGCCCTAAACATATCTTTTGTAGATTTATCTTCCAAATCACAGAATATTGTAAATACAAAAAGGAGCCATACAAATAAAAACGTTTTACTTTCCTTTTAATTGCTGGTGATAACGACGGTGAAATCCGTCAGATGCAGAACACGGGTCGAACAGATTTCTTGACGGTTCTATTTGAGGCTGACGTCGATGAAAAAATAATCTTTAGCCAGGGCGCCCTGTGAGAACTGTGAATGTCACCGTTGTGGCTCTCATAATGCTGCTGCTGCTGATGATGATGACATTAACAATAATAACATCCTGTTTCTAAAGAAAATAGATGTGCTTTACGCCTACATGGACTATTCAAATTAGGTACGCTTTTAATAATATCGGTCATAATCTTTCCACTTCTGATGATGATTTTGTGTTTATGTTTTGATCCTGCAGACAATGATTTGGAAGGAGACGTCCGCCTGGTTGATGGGTACAGTTTAGATGAAGGCAGGGTTGAGATCTTCCATGAAGGTCAATGGGGAACAGTATGTGATGACAGTTGGAGTGACTCTGACGCGAGGGTAGTTTGTCGACAGCTTGGATACTCAGGTGATGTTGGTGTAGCTCAGAGTGGTGGTACATACGGAAGAGGATCTGACCCGATATTCCTTGATGAAGTCACCTGTACGGGATATGAAACACGGTTGAAGTACTGTAGTCATCAAGGATGGGGCAATGAAGACTGTGATCATTCTGAAGATGCCGGAGTGCAATGTCGTAAGTCTGTCAAGAGCGTTAACTACATACAATAGCTGGAAATTAAAATGCATACATGCTTTTTTTAATAGCCATTATCTGATGATTCTCATTTTTCATGATAGGAGTTGCGGGTGCAGATCCAATTATTTCAAAAGCAAGTTTGTTCTACAATTTTCTTCACAACAGCCTCAAGTATTTCAGGCATAGATATCTCTACCAGATAATTCTATTTTGTAACACTTCTTTGTTGCATTGGAGATGAGCTGTTTCATGATGGTTCAGGTAGACTACGCATTAGAACCTGCCTTTTCGGGATTCTCCAACAGTGCTTGATCAGGGTCAAGTCTAGAGAGGTGGGTATCCATTCCTTCTTATTCAAGAATCCTGGAAGGTGGTCGACATTCGGCACTCTACCGCTTAGTCACTAGAGAAGTATGACCAGGTGCACCATCGTGAACAACACCATGTCAGGCTGCTTGTTAACCATTTCCTTGGTGTAACGGGTTCTGATTAATTGCTTTCTACCCAGGATATGGAGCAATGTCTGCTGCAAGATGTTGTTTATAAATTGAACTGTGCATTAATTGTGATACCTTGACGTAGAAAGCGCCTTTGAGAGAGATGGGAAACAGGTACAGAGGATACTCGCTAGAGAAGGCCAAGCTCGTGTCTCTCTGTAAATTGGTGAATCGTGGAAGTTTCAATCGTTTGTAGAACCGGATACACCGTACCTTGGCTTTCGAAACATTTCCAAGATTTTTCATTGTCTGCTGCAGGCCTGGTACCTGTTGACCTTAGCCTTGCAGATTAGTTCGTTGACCCTGGAACTCCGCTCTGATCTGGGTTTGTCATCAAGAGAATCACCATGCTTGTGTCGCTGCCTCCATTTCCCAACCCATCGTACACTTCTGCCCAGGGATTTGGCTATCTCCTGACTGTTTTTTTCTTCTTCAGTCTCTCGAAAGGCAATAGCTTGAGCATTTACCTGAAAATCTGAAGTAGAATACCCTGTCCAGATTTGCTCTTAGCCATGGTGTAAAACATCAAAACGAGAAGAACTCTCAGTAACTGAGCAGCACTCTATTTAGGCAAGAAAATATTAGCATTTAAACAAACCTAAAAATATTTGTCGACCACATATATAACACCCTTTTTGTGTTGCAATTCCTACACAAATATAAATCTAATTGGGGAGGATGAACTTTTGAATTTCTGTGTATATAAAAGTGAATTCCATCTATACTGAAATGAGGAAATTCATATTTCTATGTTCTTTTCTTTATAATCCATTTTTTGTGCTGCAGGTTCACCCGCTCCCTCTTCACGTGTCGTGGGCATCATGTCTTTTGTTGGTGTGTCTTTGTCCTTGCTGACACTGTTTGCTCTCGTAGTTGTATGTTATACCTGTAGTCAGCGTAAGCCGGTCGTCATACCTACGTCATCGGTTCAGGTCCCTCTCAGTACCATTAGTTCTCATCCTGCCGCTAATAACACCCCTGCGGCTCCCACTTCAAATGGCATGATATCCGTGCCCACTGAGCCACCGATGCCGCAACAACCACCGAATCCCTATCCTCCAGCAACTGAAACCGACTCCCTACCGCAACAACCACCGAATCCCTATCCTCCAGCATCTCAAACCGACTCCTTACCAGGTCCTCCCTCATATTACGCCTTACAGGGTGGACAATCCGATCCTCTGCCACCACCGAATTAACACAGCATAATTATGTTAGACCTTAAAAGGAATAAGATGGAGCGTATAGAATCACCCCAGACGTGCGCCGCGATATGTTCGAGGATTATTCTTTTTCCCGCCGCGAGCTTTCATGAATCATGGCGTAGAATCTTAAGAGGCAATCCAACCTTCGTATTGACATCTTTTGTATAAAAGCAGAAAATAGGATAAAGAAATTGACAAACGTTTGCAAAAAATGGGAACAATGATAAGGAAGTTCGGAGTTTTTTAATATGACATCACTAAGTCTATATAAATTTCAAATTGGCAGTTTGGTCAGTGCACGTCGTCGCGGATAACTCTCTCGTTTGCCGCGTACAAAAATATCATTAATTTCAGTTTTTCTCCCAAGTGCCTTCTTACTTTGGGCACTACAGAAAATAGTATGATAGAATATTATTATAAGTCCTCCATAGAGAAAGAAAAAAAAACACACTTTTGATTCATGCATTTTTGAAACATTGAAATTTTAAACACTGATATTTATGTTGGAACAGATTGGAAAGTTGCCCGCGCCACTACGTCACAGAGAGCACCACAATTATCCGGCCTTTCTTATGTTTAGGTATCCCTCAAAGAGGTATAAAATGAGCAATAACGCAGATACTTGAAACGATTCTTGTTAATAAGCCTAAAGTCTATTAGTTGAGTAATTTTTCAAAGAGTGGCTTCAATCTATATATCTTTTGGAGGAACGGGGGGGGGGGATTATCCACAAACAATCTATTCCTGGAGTATCCCTACCGCACTGATGCAATTGATCTGAAAATGTTATCATATAACGAAGTATACAATTCAAATTAACTTTACATTGGCAGTCAAATGACGAGTCTGCGTTCGTCATTTCCTTTGCCTTGGAACTATTTTCATCTGCTAAAGCATAAAATGTCATTCTTAATCTGTAAAAAAAAAAAATATTACTAACAATCAAAGGAAAAAACAAAACGAAGCGAAAACAAAAATGTTGATACATGGGCAACGATATAAAATAACTGAAATATGAACTCTCTCTTTTTTTTAATACACTTGCAACAAAAAGGGTTAGTTTCTTAGACGTTTTAAGCTATAATAAGTGGAATAATGGGAATTCAAAGATGAATCTTGAACATATTACTGTCGTAATGAAGTAATTTGTGTCAGCTCTTCAATATTGAATAATGTTATTGGCCTGAAATGCTACACTATCTCTTTTCATATGAACGTAATTCGTAGGATATACTGCTGCTTTGGCTTGGTTCATCATGATCATGTTACTATAGAATAGATGGACAGACTCATGTTTAAGTATGAGAGGTGATGGTATACGTTACATAATAAGTTTAATGTGTAATTCAATCAAGAAATCGATACTTTTATTGTATTCAGTGATGTATAATAAGTCTAGAAAATCTACAATATGACGTACGACGATAGCGTGTGCGTGATGTGTTTGTGTGTGTGTGTGTTACGAATCTCACCGACCATGATTGTCTTAAGATGTATATAACAATATGTGTGGTTCTAATACATGCCTCATTTGAACAGAGTGATTAATAAAAATATAAATTGTCATCTTTTTTTTACTATCATAAGAATTATTATACTAATCATAATTTCATATAGCAGCTGATGATTCATAACGTTAAATTTACATAAAGTTTCATGAATTTATTTACTCAAAGAATAAACCATCTCAGTGTTCTAGTTTTGCTACCACTAATTAAAAATGCACCCCCCCCGCGCTTTATTCAATTATTCTTAATTAAAGATGTATTTATAGACCACAAAGATGTTTAAGGAACATACAAACAATAAAAAGTCGTATGCTTAATCGAACCAATGGATAAATCAGGAAAACAAATATGTATATACTTTTCTTTTATATTTCGAAGGTGGATTATAAGTGGAAAAACATTGGTTATGATACCTCGATGATTGATTTTCTCATATGGAAAAAAAAGGTATGGAGAGTATTTGCGATATTCTGCAGAATCTGCATTTGAACCTAAATATGAAATTGGAGACGGAGGTACATAATAAATAACTGACACTGTTCAACATTTGTATCTTGTCTGCTACTATCCACGCCACTCCAAAATAAATATAACATATTATCTGGCTAGAAGAATTTGTACAATTCAATGGAACGAGGAAGTGAGAGATGAAAGAAAATCTAAAGAATTGGAATCCATGCTTATGCTTCGGAAATATCCGGAAAATCGCATTAAAGTAGATATACAAAAGAGGACGTAAAATAGAGGACAAAAATAAAGGCAAAAAAAAAAAAAAGAAAATCGAAAAGAAGATATGCTGTTTGTAATTACTATCTTCATACGATCCCAATAATGTAAATATTTCAAATACTATCGATCAACAGTGTAAAATCTTGTTTAACAGTAATGAGAAGTAAGAACAAAAAATTCGAATGATGCGATTACTGTATGCATTTTTAACAATAAGTTCGAATTAAAAGATAACTTTTTATGCTCATCCAGAAATTAAATTGTAATAGTAGAATCTAGAGTTTGATGTGATGCCTTTTTATAATGTGGGAAAATAAAATAAAACGAAACATAAGATATACCAAAGAAAATTATTTTTTATTTTTTTGGTCTCGAAATTTGAAAATTTGACATTTTTCTCCGTTGGGGGGGGGGGGGGGTAAGGTCATCTTTTTTAGGTCAACCATGGGAATATTTTTTTTGATTTGTTTATAATTAAAAAAATAAACAAACAAACAAAACAAGGGGGAGGGGTTTGGGTTTTTTAGGGGGGTTCGCACACATAAAAAACCCAAAGGGGGGGGGGGGGTTCATCCCCCCCCCCCCTGCGTACGTGCCTGAATGAGATATCTTGGCATTATATTATGCCTGACATGGGCGCAGCCATTTACTTGAAAATGTGACGTACCAGTTGGAGTTGTACATGTATCATGCACCAAGCTTAAATTGAAAGAATTTTTAATTCAATTACAAAACCTTTACTTTTCAATGAGGGAAAACCATAGCCGAGAAAGTAAAAATTAATTTGATGAAAATATATTTTAAGGTAACAATACATTGTAAATCATTTATTTGAAAAATCAATTTCATTTATGCGAAACCTTCACCTCAGAACAACACCAACTTATTTATAAAATTTGCGTTCTGGCAATTGGAGTACAAAGGGTAATTATAGCAGGTGAATGAAATGCTTCAAAACCACAAACACATGGAAGGGAAGCATGCATAATGTGAATACATTTTGTTTATAAAATACTCCGCATAGTACGTCATACAATCAAGAAAATAGCAATGCCCATGTCTTGCTGAGAAACTGTACTTTATTCTTACTTCATGCCTTTCTCATACACTTTGGTGGGGAATCTTGTAGATTGATTGGCAAAAATGCAATAAATCTCTCAAAACAACCAAATTGTTCTGTGTGTTTATTTCTTCTTTAACAAAATACACATTATAATAAAATGAAAATGGAGATGAAGATTGACCTTACATGATTTTGACTATGATGTAATCTATGTCAAAATACGCCATTTTACGCAATGCGCTCGTACGCATTATTTGTGTATAGTTTAGTGCACTAATTTGTATGTTTTAATTTTTTAATTCACTATCTGATCAAATAAACTGAAACCGGTAATGGAGATAAATTAAACTTCCAATGTATTTTATATCAATTGTTAAGAGTATGTATATATATATATATATATATCTCAAAAATTATATATACAGTGCGTCCCAGAAAAAACAAAACCGAGAATCATCGATGTTTTATCATAATTTAATCACAATTATAATTAATAAATGACACATATTTTTAAGCTTAGATCCCCTCTTTTGATTTAATGCTACTCGTATAATGCATATTTCACGCATGACTGATTAAAATTAATTTGAGGAGAGGGAACAAGGGAACCAAAAAGTCATTTGGCGGACGGTATCTGAATTTTTAAAAAAGAAAACCACATTTCTAGAAAGTTCAATGTCTGCCATTTCATATGACACCTCAATCAGGAAAAAAGAGGTAGGAGTAACAAAGTTCTGTGTGCCTAAAGTAGTGCTTTCATTTCCATAATTTCATTAAAACGAATTCATTTTCACTGGCTGCCCGCCGTAACAACAATCAGACTTAATAAAAGACTTAACTCCGTTTCGTTGACAATCAGCCATAGCCGAAAGACTTCATGCATGGCTTTGCCACTAAATCATGACTGCACGAAGCAGGGGCCAGGGTAGGGAGCAGCCCCCATAAATAAAATAAAAAACACAAAGAAAATGCAATAAATTATCAATAATTCATTGCATTTCCCCCGATCCCCAACAGAAAAAAATCCTCTGCGTGACCATGCCTTGAACCATAAGGATGGCCGTACAGTATTTCACTCATGGCTTTATAATTGAACGAGCAGAATTTTAATTATAGCTTGAAGTTACAAAATGACTAGGAAAAATATCCCTAATTTATTCCCATGCTATGTTCATCCTAATTTTCGCCAAAATCAATCAAATTACTTTTTTAATTGTAAGTGTGTCATTTTACCGTACTGAAAGACGGAAGGATTTACTAGGGACACAATTAAATATTCCATTAATCAAAATTGCAATCTTTTGCTAGTGACTGAATGGTGACGTAACATCTTTAATAAGAAGGAGGGGGGGGGGGGGTAAGAGGACACTTTCTTTTTCTTTTTTTGGTCTCGAAATTCAAAAATTTGACATTTTGCTCCGTTGGGGGGGGGGGGGGGGTAAAGTCAGTTTTTTTAGGTCAGCCATGGGAATATACCTATTTTTTTTTATAAATAAAAAAAAAAAACAAAACAAAAAAAATCCAAGGGGGGGGGGGGGGTTCAGGGGGTTATGGGGGGTTTACATACAGAAAAGTACCAAAGGGGGGGGGGGTTAAACCCCCCAACCCCCAACCCCCCCCCCCCCCCCCTGTGTACGCGCCTGTGATTATCCCTACCTTGGATATCATGGTTTGTAAACCTAATACTCCCATGTTTGTTTGGTTATGAAAATACATCTTCATAAACGAAATTATCGCGTCACAGAAACACGTGAAGCGTTAGTGATAGTTTTAGTCAAAATATCTGCGTGAAATTCACATGAATATTACGAGGCTGACTTGAGATGAATCATGTTCTTCATTCACGTGAAATTTACGTCAAAGAGCAAATATGTTACTGTTACCCGCGTTCAATCCAATAATTACGCAATTGTTACACAATAAATAAACCAAAATAATGACGTTCTAATCCCGCTTCTTCCATAATTACGTCCAGGCGCGCCGGAAGCAGTTTGGGATTAGAGGGGGTGGGGGGTGCAAACATCCCAGAAGAGAAAGCTAGTTGCAACTGAACCAGTTAATGCCAACTGGTAACCCTGGAAATTGAAATGGGCTTAAGGATCCAGTTGATCCAGGCCAGTTAGAATTCAATTCTAGCTGAGCCATTAGAACCATTTGGTAAAACTTCCAACCAGTTGAACGGCAACAACACTTCTATACTGGTACGTCTGTATTTCCAATGTAAAGGCATTGGTAATAAGTAGACCTACATAATCTAATTAGTCGAAATTTGTTTATATACTTGTATTTTATTGATATAATTTTAGTTCATAGTTAATGTTTCCGTTATTCAGGTGTGATGGAATAAGCTTAATTCTAGCTTAAACACGTTGTTGCAATTCAATGATGAAACAAAGGAGACATCCGGTTAACTCATGTTTTTTTATTTATTTAAAATGGTTTATTTCATTAAAAAACATTCGCGGCCCGAGAGCCGAATTGCAGTTTTTTTTACAAGGTATACATCAGTGACAAAGTAAAATTACACGTAAAACATTATGCATGGTAGCATTATGGTAGTAAAATTGGAATTCTTTTGTACAAATGATATATAATTATGCTTCAACGACCTTGGCAAATTGCTTGGTACATATACAGAAATTCGAATTGTATTACCATATTTGCAATAAAATGATATATTAAACTTATACAATACATGAATAGCAATACATATTTGATATTCAAAAGAATTAAATGTTTTGGTTGGAAAATGCATAGCCAGATGGGTAAGGTATAGTTGTGGTGTTTTCTTCAATAACAGGGACAACAACAGAAACCAAATCCAGGAATTATAAAGTCAAATAGATGTTCCAATGATTTAAACAGATTATACAAATTATACATTGTAGATAAAATGCAGAACATTTTGTATTTGGGCCAATTTAGTAAAAGGTACATGTAGAATATTGCATAAAAATATGGTAAGATAAGTTTCGCATACAAACATGTTGGTTCCTTTATTGTGACGCTGTCGTGGATTTCATTCATTTTTTTTCTATTCATTCATTTCGGTTTTGTCAAAATTCCATGTTAAAACAGTTAGGATACTGATACAAACAAAGATTACAAAGCTCAAAGAAATAAGGAGAAATTAAAAATACATGTACATCAATATAGAAACGGTTACAAATTAGTTCAAGGAATTAATTAACAATAATAATAATGGAACCTTCAATATATTGCACATCAGACATAAAATAAATCGAATTTATATACATGGATGATTTGGGAAAAAAAGAAGATAACAAAGAGATAAAGGACAAGTATTTCATTTCCTTTTCTCGTAACATTTAGATTTTGAACATTTACATTTTAAACACAAATCATTAGAAAGTAAAATGAGATTTAACAACTGTGTGGGATAATTCCTGCAAAAATACAACAAATGAAAACACTTAAATACATGTTCTTGCAATACGTTTAACACTTAGGAATCCAATTTCCAGGAATACTCAAGTTCCATTCTTGTGTCAGTAAATCTAAACTTTATACACTGTTGGTCATAAAGGTGGAATAATTATTTTTACTCCAGTTTTAGGGAAGGACCTTAAAAAATTATTTATTTCTAATATCTAGATAATGGCATACATTCTCAGATTTTATTGAATATTAATTTGCGAGTGTTTGTTTTGCGTGACTGCTAAATCATATGTGTGCTTCTATGCTAATAAGCTAGGGAACTTACGTCCTTACATCATAATTGACAGTAATGAGGATTAATGCCTCACAAAAGGGCACTAATATATAGCTGACCGACACGATTTTTATCCTGGGGCCTCACAGTAATGAGGCCATTGCTTAGCCCCTGAATCATGATTGTACGCAGTGTTTGCTAGGGTACGCGGCCCCTTCCACAAATCCCCCAAAACGAAGAAAATGCAATAAATTGTCAAAAATTTATTGCATTTCCCCCCGGCCCCCAACAGGAAAAATTCCTCTGTAGGGCCATGCATTATGGTTCAAAACTTATGCTTCGACAACTCTAGTTTAGTTTGCGTGTACTTCTCTCTCCCTACTAATACAGTATTAATTCTTTCCCACTATATGCCAACCACAGTCTCTCTGTACATCTGTGTGTCTGTGTCTCTTTCTGTTTCCATCTTTCTCTCGTTTCTGGCTGCAACACACCAGACATGCAAGCAAAATCACATAGCCAATGCGTCAGTTGTATTAGGTACATTACAGCACACCTGAATACACACGCGCACACCCTCCCAATCTCTCACTCCATCACACCC